CAAAGGGGCGTTCACCGTCTAGGATTGGCGCGGCGTGTCCTTTTGACGCCTTCCGCAGTGACGCCTTGCTTCATGTGCGCGCTGGGTAAGGCAAGAGGCTCCGTAGAGCTCGCTTTGGCGTCGAGCATAGGGGGGGAGTGAGCAGGGGCGGGCATTCTCAGAAGGCTCGGAAGGCCCCGGGCCTTCTGAGAAGTGTTCCAAGCCTGCCCCGACGACACGGAACGCTCGTCGGAGGGCAGGAGGGCACCCGAGAAGCCCCGCCGCCTTCTGAGGAGGCCTTCCCCTTCTCACTTCCCTCCCAGGCTCGCCACCTGCCTGGGCCTCCCTTTGCACGCATGCTTGCGGCTGAACCACGCGAGGCTCCGACGTACACTGCGCACACAGATTACGAAAGATCTTGGGCATGAGAAGGAGAGGGAGAGGGAGACAGGGAGGGAGAGATAAGATGACCGAGAGGGAGATAGAGAGAGATAGAGAGGGAGAGAGAAGGAGCGAGGGAGGGAGGGAGGGAGGGAGGGAGAGAGAGAGAGAGAGAGACAGACAGACAGAAAGAGGCAGAGACAGAGGCCAAAGACAGAGACAGCGACAGAGATAAAGAGGGAGGGACGGAGGGAGGGAGAGAAAGAGAAAGAAAGAGAGAGAGAGAGAGAGACAGGGAAAGAGAGGGAGAGAGAGAGAGAGAGTTCTGGGCCGTCTGGAGGCCCTCGTTGGACACTTCAGGCCCGTCTCGTCTGTGGGCCGTTTTGAAGCTCTATTCGGGCCGTCTTGAGGCCCTCTTGGGCCGTCGTGGGGCGATCTTGTGGGCTGCTTGGGCAGTCAGCCTTGGGGCATCTTGGGGGCCTCTTGGGCCGGCTGAGCGGGTCGGAAGCCCGAAACGGCGAGAGCGCTAAAGTCCATCGACCACTGATTAACAATCCGTGAGGCCATCTCGATCTGCCTTGGAGTGCCCTCGGGCTGTCTCGCGGCCCTCCTGGACCGTCTTGGGGGCGCCTCGGGGCCCCCTCCCCTTGGTCAGGAGGGAAAAAAACACACAGACACAATTAATCGTCGGTTCCCAGAAAATATGGGAAAATATGGGAAGTGGGGGGGAAGACAGAAACCCAGAAACTATGGGAAAATATGGGGAATCCTTGTATTTGTGTGTATTTATTTGTGTGTCCGAATTTCCCTTTACTGGGGCCGCCTCGGGGCCCTCTGGCTTCGGGAGAGGTCGCGCGGGGAGCCCACGGGGGCACGCGCCGCGCCCCGGGCGCGCCCCAGGAGCGCCGCGAGCGCGGGGCCGAGCGGGCAGCCTTCCCTCGGGCGTTTCGGCGGCGCGCGTGTCCCTCCTCCTCCTCCTCCTCCTCCATCTCCTCCTCCTCCTCCTCCTCCTCCTCCTCGTCCTACTCTTCCTCCTCCTCCTCCTCCTCCTCCTCCTCCTCCTCCTCCTCCTCCTCCTCCCCCTGGTGGAGCCACGTTGGAAACGCATTAAGCTAAGCTAAGGTAAGCTAAGCTAAGCGAAGCTGGGGGAACCCAGGGGGCGCAGCTGGGGGAACCGCGGGGTGGGGACTGGGGGAACCACCCGGGGCGTTTTACACTGCCCGGCCCCTTTAAGCAAATTATCCCAGTGCGACCCTACATAGGAGTTGGAGCCCCTAGGAAAGCAGCATTAGCACGAACAGTAAAGCTAAAGCTAAGCTAAAGCTAAGTTAACACTAAACTAAAGCTAAGCTAAAGCTAAGCTAAGCTAAGCTCAAGGTAAGCTAAAGCTAAGATGAAGCTAAGCTAAATCTAAGCTAACACTAAGCTAAGGCTAAGCTAAGGCTAAGCTACCGCTAAGCTAAACCTGAGCTAAAGCTAAGGTGCAGATAAGCTAAAGCTAAGCTAAAGCTAAGCTAAAGCTACGGTAAAGGCTAAGCTAAAGCTAAGCTAAAGCTAAGCTAAAGCTACGGTAAAGGCTAAGCTAAGGCTAAGCTAAAACTAAGCTAAATCTAAGCTACAGCTAAGCTAAAGCTAAGGTGCAGCTAAGCTAAAGCCAAGCTAAAGCTAAGCTAAAGCTAAGCTAAAGCTAAGCTGAAGCTAAGCTGAAGCTAAGCTGAAGCTAAGCTGAAGCTAAGCTGAAGCTAAGCTAAAGCTAAGCTGAAGCTAAGCTAAAGCTAAGCTAAAGCTAAAGCTAAAGCTAAGCTAAAGCTAACGCTAAAGCTAAGCTAAAGCTAAGCTAAAGCTAAGGTGCCGCTAACCTAAAGCCAAGCTAAAGCTAAGCTAAAGCTAAGCTGAAGCTAAGCTAAAGCTAAGCTAAAGCTAAGCTGAAGCTAAGCTACAGCTAAGCTAAAGCTAAGCTAAAGCTGAGCTACAGCTAAGCTGAAGCTAAGCTGAAGCTAAGCTAAAGCTAAGCTAAAGCTAAGCTGAAGCTAAGCTACAGCTAAGCTAAAGCTAAAGCTCTCAGGGGACTGGGGGAACCGCGGGGCGGGGACTGGGGGAACCGCCCGGGGCGATTTACACTGCCCGGCCCCTTAAGCTAAGAGAGTAAGAACCCTTCTAGGCAGAGCCTATGTAGGGAACAAAGTAAGAACCCTCTAGGCAGAGCCTGGGTAGGAAAAAACTGCATACACCAGGGTCCCGTATACACTAGGATCCGCTTTCATGGCTTCAAATGTCAGTGCGGGGCCGGAAACAGCGTCGGCGTATAGAGCTCGCTTCCCTAAGGATGGCCGCTCGCGGCTGTGCACACGAGCTGTGGGCAGCCCAAGGCGGGACCGTGGACCCCAGGCGCGGTCCAGTCCGGTCCAGTCCGGCGGACAAGGTACTCGTCCCCGACCATTGTTTTTTGGGGGGTTCGCGCCAGAGACATGATTCAGAGAAGGACGACGTACTCAATACCTCCACCCTTCCCTCGTTTTCCACCTGTTGGTCTTCCTGGGAGGCCCTCGTCGCCAGCGCTGGATTCGCTTTTGGTTCCCCAATGATCGTAAGCAGCAGGCCAGATGTGACTCATGACTTTTTGGGAACTCCGCGCACCGTTGCCAGCCGTGAGGATTTTCCCTTTCTCGCTTCGTGATTGCATGCCGTGGCAGCGAGAGTGGCCTCTCCTCAAGCGGTAATTGACCCATTCGCGCATTCAACGAGTTTCAGGCCAGTCATGGGGCGCGCTCCAGGCTGATGACAATCAAGAGGGCCAGGTGGAGGAATGCGGGCAAGAGTAAAGACAAATGTCAGTGAGTATACACAGGGGTAGGCGGGGTAGAGGGAGGAGACGGAATGGAAGAGGAGAAAGAGGAAGAGGAGGCGGGCAGGAGGGGGAAGAGGAGGAGGAGGAGGAGGTGGAGGATGAGGAGAAGTGGTACGAGGAGGAGTAGAACTTGGATTAGGCAACAGAGGAAGAGAACGACGATGAGGACGAGAGAGAATGAGATACTGGCGTCGGGGACTCACGGGAACGACGAGGATGAGCATGCTGAGGAAAGCGATGGAGCGAATGCGCAGGAGGAGGCAGGCCAGGGCGTGAGGGGATGCCAGAGCGTCGCCCAGGAGACTGGTTTGGCGAGCTCGTGGCTCTAGGCCTGCACGACCCCGCCTATCGTCGCGCGCGTCCGTGTCCTCTTCCAGTTCCTCCTGCTCCTTCCCCGCTCAACCTCCGCAGCCTCCTCCATGCCATCCCACTCCACGCATCCACGCCACTCCGCCTTCTTTTCCGCCTTCAGCTCCTTGGTTTTTCCCAACCCTCCTGCGTTGGGTACTCGTTTTGAATAGAGCACTGCGGTCTCCGCTCTCCTCCTCCCGCCCCCCCCTTTCTTCCCTCCTCCTCTCCTCTCTTGCTTGCCTTCTCCTCCTCTCTTCGCTTCTCCTCTTCTCTTCTCTTGCCTTTCACGTCATCCCTAGCGGGCTGCGATCTGCGGAACTGTCACCACTTTCGAGGGCTGCTGGTGGGTCCAGCGGAGTGAGGCACCACGGGGACTCAGATTAGACCTCGCCATCCCTGGGGGGGGGGCTGCGATTTGTGAAACTCTCGCCACTTTCGAGGGCTGCTGGTGGGTCCAGCGGAGTGAGGCACCACGGGGACTCAGATTAGACCTCGCCATCTATGGGGCGGGGGCTGCGATCTGTGAAACTGTCACCACTTTCGAGGGCTGCTGGTGGGTCCAGCGGAGTGAGGCACCACGGGGACTCAGATTAGACCTCGCCATCTATGGGGGGCTGCGATTTGTGAAACTGTCGCCACTTTCGAGGGCTGCTGGTGGGTCCAGCGGAATGAGGCACCACGGGGACTCAGATTAGACCTCGCCATCTCTGGGGGGCTGCGATCTGTGAAACTGTCGCCACTTTCGAGGGCTGCTGGTGGGTCCAGCGGAGTGAGGCACCACGGGGACTCAGATTAGACCTCGCCATCCCTGTGTGAACTGTCGCCACTTTCGAGGCTGCTGGTGGGTCCAGCGGAGTGAGGCACCACGGGGACTCAGATTAGACCTCGCCACCCCTGGGCGGCTGCGATCTGTGAAACTGTCGCCACTTTCGAGGGCTGCTGGTGGGTGGCCAGCGGAGTGAGGCACCACGGGGACTCAGATTCTGACCACGAGCAATGCTCGCGTGCCCTTGCTCTGCGGTTCGTGCCACGTGGCGCTGCGACTCGAGCTGGCGGTCGTCCTTCGGACCCGCAGAAACATCTGCTGAGCTCGATGAGCTAGGGGAACTACAGGAAAGAAGTGCAGGAAACGGAGGCCGGTCATGCACTCGCCGATACCTCGTTGCTCTGTCATCGTCTTTGCTGTTGCATGATCCTTATCTGGCCTGCCGGCGCCGCGGCTCGAGCTGGCGGTCGCCCTTCGGGCCCGCGGGAACATCTTCTGAGACAAGTGGACGCCGCCGCCTTACTTGCAGGCAGCGCATTGCATTCGCGGACAGCAGCATGGCAGACCGCAGTGAGATCCTCAGTCGCGTGGTGTTGCCAAGCCTGGTGGAGACGCGCGTGATCGACCTGAAGTCCCAATCGCGCGTGCACTGTACCTGCGTGGCGTTCAGGCACG